CAAAAAAAAAAATTTTTTTTGAATGAATTAGAAAATATAATCAAGGCTGGGTGCAGAGGCTCATGTGTGTAATCCTAGCACTCTGGGAGGCCGAGGCAGGAGGATTACTTGAGCTCAGGAGTTTGAGACCAGCCTGAGCAAGAATGAGACCCTATCTCTACAAAAAATAGAAAAATTAGCCAGGCATGGTAGTGCATGCCTATAATCCCAACTACTTGGGAGGTTGAGGCAGGAGAATTTCTTTAGCCCAGGAGTTTGAGGTTGCAGTGAGTTATGACCATGCCACTGCACTCTAATTGGACAAGACAGCAAGATCCTGTTTCAATTAAAAAAAAAAAGGAGAGGGAGGAAGGAAAGAAGGTAGGAAGAAAGGAAAGAAAGAAAATGTAATAATTGTGAAATAAATTATTTGTATTACAGTTGGAAAAGAAGAGATAAAATCATTATTGGCAGACAATGTGATCGTATGTCTGGCCAACTCAGTTGGAAAACCACCAGTTGAAAGATAAGAAAGATGAATTGATATCACTTAAAATAGTAACAAAAATTTAAAAATAACTAGGAAAAAATGTATTATATATATGTAAAATTTTGAAACAAGATTGTATCATATTCCTAGATAGGAAGCCACTAAAGGATAGTAAGACTCAGGAACTAAAGATATCAGTTCTCTTAAGTGAATCTGTACACATGCCAATAACACATCTCAAATAAAGTTGCTTAGAATATCCTAAAGGATGCACAGGAAACTGATATCACTGCTTGCTTCTGAGAAGGGAGCTGGGTGGCTGTTAAACATCAGCCAGAGGGAGATTTTTCACTGTACTTTTTTTGTATCTTTAGAAATTTGAGCCTTGGGAATATATTATTCAAAAAAAGTATTTTAAAAAATTAAAGGAAGGGGCTGGGCACGGTGGCTCACGCCTGTAATCCTAGCTCTCTGGGAGGCCGAGGCAGGCGGATTGTTTGAGCTCAGGAGTTCGAGACCAGCCTGAACAAGAGTGAGACCCCGTCTCTACTAAAAATAGAAAGAAATTAATTGGACAACTAAAAATATAGAAAAAATTAGCCGGGCATGGTGGCGCATGCCTGTAGTCCCAGCTACTCAGGAGGCTGAGGCAGGAGGATCGCTTGAGCCCAGGAGTTTGAGGTTGCTGTGAGCGAGGATGACGTCACGGCACTCTAGCCTGGGCAACACAGTGAGACTCTGTCTCAAAAAAAAAAAAAAAATTAAAGGAAGGGATATCACATGTGTTACATGGCACTGAGAGATTAAGATGGAGACTAAGAAATGTTGAATTTGGTGTTAGTTGTGATCTTAACAAGAAAAGTTTTTGGGGAATGGTGTGGTAAAACATGATAAGTGGAGGTTCAAACAAGAATGGGGATTTCTGCTTCCAGCAGGATGGTAAGCTAGATACTCTGAAGGGCCTTGTCAATATGATAGGATTAGAACCCAGATAAATTATAACAAGAAATTTAATACATTTCTGGGTTTTCTAAAACAAGGGAAATTTACAGTGTCCAAGAGACAAAACCAGATAAAAATCCAATAGTGAGCTGAAACTAGAGAAGGGTTCATTTGGCAGAACACAGACATAAAATTGAGGTTGTGCAGAAGGCAAATGCTGATTTTCACTACTTTGGGGCCAAGCAGATGAGAAGTGCAAGCTGAGACTTCTACATTGAGTGAGGGCTCTAAAAATCTGGCTGAATGAATCCCTGGTTGTATTGTTAGTTTTTTCCTGGCTTCCAGGAGATAGGAAAAAATCATCTTTCAAGGAAAGGATCTCCACTATAGCCATCAGGATTCCAACAGACTAAGGGCTCCAAAAATAGGATCTCAAAACAAAAAATTAGCAAGCCCAAATAAACAAGTCATTTGTGAGAATCAGTAGAACAATTAATTAAAACATGAAGGACTTCAGATTTTGTATAGAGGAATAAAGTTAAAAAACAACCAAAAGATTATAGAAGGCTAAGAAGAATTAGGTTGTAGGGGAGGTTGCCCTCTTAAATGCCAATACTTGTTACATTGCTGTAGTAATGAAGAGTGTGATATTAGTGTGAAAATAAATGGGATGGAAATAAGAGCCCAGAACCAGCTCCACACATAAGTAGAAATCAGATATGTGAGAGAAACTGACAAAGGTGAGATTACTCAATAAGCAGTGTTGATAAAATTAGTTATCCATATGGGGGAAAACATTTCTGCCTTTTATCATTATTCAGAAATCCATTTAAGGCCGAGCGCAGTGGCTCACGCCTGTAATCCTAGCTCTCTGGGAAGCCGAGGCGGGTGGATTGTTTGAGGTCAGGAGTTCGAGACCAGCCTGAGCAAGAG